AATACCCACCCACATGCAAAAACAAAACTGAAACTTTTTTATTTTCTTCTGACAATCGCACCTCCTAAAGGAAGAAATGCATCTTGTTCTTGCATTGGAGAGTTCAGTTTGTAACCTAGGACTTACTTGTCCTCAGTGCACAGAAATCACATCAATCTGATACCATATATATATATATTAGAAATGATTTGGAAAATATTTGAACACCTGGTCTTAAAATATTTTATCCATCATGTTAAAATAAAATGTTCCATAATCAAAAAAGGTTTTAGGAAAAAAACTGGGGGAAAATCAGTTTCCCCCTGAATTTTTCCGTTTTTCCCCCGGGCCGTCAGATCTCTAGTACTAACCATGACCCTGCTTAGCTTCCGAGATCTGACCAGATCCGACTAGCCTGGGCCATCCAGGTCAGGGCAAAAGGCATTCAGGAATGCGAAAGGCATTTTTCCTGAAGCCTTTTTTGTTTTTTTTTTCCAAAAAATTGGAAAAAGAAAAGAAAAAAAATTGATTGTGGAACGTTTTATTTTAACATGATGAGTAAAATATTTTAAGACAAGGTGTTCAAACATTTTCCAAATCATTTCTAAAAAATACGTATGGTATCAGATTGATCTAATTTCTGTGCACTGAGGACAAGCAAGTCCTAGGTTACCAACTGAACTCTCCAATGCAAGAACAAGATGCATTTTGCTTTTGCCATTGCTTGCCTCTGCGTAGCAACCCTGGGCTTCCTTCGTGGTCTCCCATCCAAATACTACCCAGGGCTCACCCTGCTCAGCTTCTGAGATCTGATGAGATTGTGCGTCAGGGCAAAAGGCATCCAGAGGGGATCTACCACGGCCTGCCTCTGCGTAGCAACCTTGGTGGTCTCCCGTTCTAGTACTAACCAGGGCTGACCCCACTTAGCTTTTGAGATCGGAGGAGATCAAGCTACTCTGGGCTGTCTAGGTCACGGCGTCATACTTTTTACCTGCAGGGAACTCCCTCAGCGTTGCTGTGAAAGCTTTGCTTCTGTCCCTGAATCCCTGTCGCTCGCTTCACACGGCATTCTTGAAAGGCCATGTGGACACTGGCGAGAGCCAGTTTGGTGTGGTGGTTAAGGGCGCGGACTCTGATCTGGGAGAACCGGGTTTGATTCCCCACTCCTCCACTTGCACCTGCTGATGTGACCTTGGGTCAGTCACAAGCTCTGGCACAGCTGTCCTTGAAAAAGAGCAGTTTCTGTCAGAGTTCTCTCAGCCCCACCGACCTCACAGAGTGCCTGTTGTGGGGAGGGGAAGGGAAAGGAGTTTGTGAGCCGCTCTGAGACACCTTTGGGTAGTGAAGGGCCAGAGGGTATAAATCCAAACTACTACTACTACTCCTCCTCCTCTTCTTCTCCTTCTCCTCCTCCTCCTCCTCCTCCTTCTTCCTCTTGCCTCATTTAAGAGAGCATGCTACACAAGAACCTGAGCAGTCTCTGCTGTGGCCCCCCAACCTTGTGAAAGAGCCTTCCTGAAAAGGTCAGGGACCCCCCCCCCCCCAAACACGTCTGTCTTTTCACACAATCTACAAAACCAAAATGCTGAGGAGGGCATTTTATAACGTGATATTAGACCCGTAGTATAATTGAAGCAGTTCGGAGGAAGCATTTATAAGGGAATAAGATTGTCGCCTTCTGCAGTGATGGTTGTCGGCATCCCCTTGCTTTTACTGCATCGTTTTCTTCCTTTTTAACCCCATTTCTGCATTTATGGTGTGCCACGCCTCAGAGAAGTTCTTGCTTGCATTTTCTGATTCCATAATTCTAGTCCCGTTGCATTATCGGAGGCCTGATGCTGTCGCACTGACTTGTTTTTAATGTTCTGTAGTCCGAAAGAGTGAAATAAAAAACACATGAACATCACAACTGGATTGTTGTGGGGATAAAATGGAGGACAGAAAAATGATGCACGTCGCTTTGCAGAGAAAAGCAGGGTATAAGTGATGTCGCTTTCCGGGACGTTTGTCTGCTGCTGCTGATTGGCTCTTCAAGGAGCCTCTCCCTGTTTGGGCTTCGCTGGTGCACAGTTTGATTGCTAGATCCAGGTGGGGCAGCCATGTTGGTCTGAATCCGCAGAACAAAGTTCGAGTCCAGTGTCACCTCCTGTAAGGGAAACAAAGTTTGATTCTGGGTAGGAGCTTTGTGTGTGTGCGTGTGCAGAATGAAACTCCTACAAGTTAATGACTCAGCCCGACCCCACCTTCCTGAGTAGATACAAATTACCTGCCTACCATTTTTCTTCTCACCATGACACAGAGAGCGCTCCATCTTTATATGTTATACCTCTGAGGATGCCAGTCACAGCTGCTGGCGAAATGTCAGGTCCTACCATGCCAAGAGAACGGCCAGACAGCCTGGGAAAATCTGCAAGGACTAAAGAATTAAACTCTGTTGGTCTTAAAGGTGCCACTGGACTCAAACTTTGTTCTGTTTAATTATTATTTATTATTAATTTACCTCGTCTATACCCGGCCTTTCCCACCAGCGGGGAACCAGTGCAGCTTCTGCCATTCCCCTCTCCTCCATTTTATCCTCAAAACAACCCTGCTAGGTAGGTTAGGCGGAGAGTATGTGACAGGCCCGAGGTCACCCAGCAAACTTCAGCGGCAGAGTGTCCCAGGTCCTAGTCCAACACTCTTATCATGGCACCGCGCTCTCCAGAGTGGTTTTTGTGTGCATTGAGGGGCTTGTGAACAGTGTTCCCCCTAAGCTGAGTTAGTGTGAGCCAGCTCACTGGTTTTTAGCCTCCAGCTCACACATTTCTGTCTTGGCTCAGGAAGGTTGGGGCTCCAGAGCAAACTAATTCATGCAGTAGCCAAATCACTCACTCACAATTTTAATGCCAGTAGCTCACAAAGTAGAATTTCTGCTCACAAGACTCCACGGCTTAGAGGGAGCATAGCTTGAGAATGAACCGCGTGGCTTGGGGGTGGTGGTAGACAGGTGGTCTGCTGGTCGTTCTAGCATCCTCTGGCTAACCAATATGATGTGTTTTCCCCTCTCTCTCTCGTGAAGACGCTTGAGCGCTCGTATCTGCTGAAGATAAATTCCAAAGGTAAGTGCTGTGTCTGGTCGTTTTCTCAGTATGTAAGGAGGACATGTCCTGGCTTTGAGGGTTTTAAGAAGGGTTGACTTGTTGGCTTGAGGAATTGGTTGGATGGGCGGGGGGAGATATATATAAATGTCTGGGCTTCCTACCGACGGGGTCAGGTCTCTGAAAACTTTTGCCGATCAGGTCTTTGGGGGTGTGGCCGTGCCTGAGTGGTAAGAGCATCTAGCTTTGTATGTAGGAGAAGCCAGGTTCAGTCTCTTCTGCTCACAAGACTCCATGGCTTAGAGGGAACATTGCTTGTGAATGAACCGCGTGGCTTGGGGGGTGGTAGACAGGGGGTCTGCTGGTCGTCCTGGCGTGCTCTGGCTAACCCATACGATGTGTTTTCCAAGGGATCAGGTAGTCAGTGGTGCAAAAAAACTTGTGCTTGAGGCCCTGGAGGGCCGCTGCCAGTCAGAGCCAGGCAATAGCGACACCGAGGGACTGATGGCCTGACTCAGCAGAAGGGAGGTTCGCGTGTTCGTGTGTGGGAAATCTTCTGCTTCGTGGGGTGTGAGAGACATGGAATTGGTTGGATGGGCGGGGGGAGATATATATAAATGTCTGGGCTTCCTACTGATGGGGTCAGGTCTCTGAAAACTTTTGCTGATCAGGTCTTTGGAGGTGGGGCCGTGCCTGAGTGGTAAGAACATCTGGCTGTGTATGTAGGAGGTGCCAGGTTCAGTCTTTGGTAGCATCTCTAGTTAAAGGGATCAGGTAGTCAGTGGTGCAAAAAACTTGTGCCTTTTAGCTGGAGAAGCGGGTGGAGTTTGCCAGTTTGGTGTCGTGGTTAAGTGTGTGGGCTGTATCATCTGGGAGAACCAGGTTTGATTCCCCACTCCTCCACTTGCAGCTGCTGGATGACCTTGGGCAAGCCATAGTTCTGATAAGAGCTGTCCTTGAAAAAGAGCAGTTTCTGTCAGAGCTCTCTCAGTCCCACCGACCTCACAGGGTGTCTGCTGTGGGGAGGGGAAGGGAAAGGAGTTTGTGAGCCGCTCTGAGGCTCCTTTGGGTAGTGAAGGGCCATGGGGTATGAATCCAATCTCCTCCTCCTCCTCCAAAACACTAATAATCCCCAGGGTTATATCCTTCGAGATATCTTTCAAGCCTGTTCTCTGCACACTGATATATCTCAGCCGAGACAATTCTATTTAAGCTTGTTGCTCTGTGATGGGATTTTTTTTTAATCTCCTGAAATAGTCCTCTTTATCAGCTGAGAGAGTTCTCTGCAGGTTCTTGTTTCTGAATCCCTTTAATCGGAAGACTTGTCTCCAGAAATGTTCCAGATATAAAACTGGAAGGTTTAGGCACCAAAGTGTAACACGGGAGTTCTCTCTCCCGAAAGTCAGACTTCTTCCTCCCTCTCTCTGGCCTCCAGTGGCTGAGCGGCCCCAGCACATGCTGATGCGGGTGTCGGTGGGGATCCACAAGAAGGACATCGATGCTGCCATTGAAACCTACAACCTCCTGTCTGAGAAGTGGTTCACTCACGCCTCTCCCACGCTCTTCAACTCCGGCACCAACCGCCCCCAGCTGTCCAGGTAGGGTCAGCTGGCATCCTCACTGCAGGGAAGAAACCGCGGTGGAGGAGTGTAATGATTCCTTGTTTTTGTGTGGCCGTGTCTCTTTAAAAGTTTGGTTGCATGACAGTGGTAGATAGACTAGAGTGGTTGAGAGAGGCAATTGTGGTATGATTGGTGGTTGACAGAGAGGCGGAGGGGTTTTGGAAGTGAAAATGAGTGGATGAGTATGTATGTCAGTCAGGTTTTACAGTTACAGGTTTGACAGTTGATAAGTTGAGTTAGTTCTGTGGGTGATGGGGGAGAGAAGCAGTCCTGTGTGGAAAACGTTAGTTCTGTGTTAAAGCAGTTAAGAACAGCTGAGGTTGTTCTGAAAGAAAGGATAAGAGATCTGAGGGCTAAGTTTAGGAAAACGTGAAGTTTAAGTGAAGAAATGTTATAGTAAAGTCTGGGGTTTATAACAGACTGGAAAGAGACAGTGAACCTGTATGGCATTGAGATAAACCAGTGATACAAAGTTACCTGAAAAGATCCCTGTCGGTAAGGGAGAAGATTGTGTGATACACCAAGCAATTGTTCATTATTTACACATTACTAGTTACATTGTTCTACCCTCTTAGTTATGATTTATTTCAATAAATCCTCTTTCATTCAAGTATACCAGCTCTGAAATAAATACTTCCTCAGGACCACATAGTTCCTCGTAAGCCTTGAACTCGGTCTACCAAAATAGTAAGAGCAACAGTAAAGTATAAAGGTTTGGAAATCCTTAAAATTTCCTGGTCGTCACAAGGAGCTTCCCTCTGCTTGGTCTGGGCCTCCCTGAAGAGTGTGTCTTCCAGAAAGGCCAGTTTGGTGTAGTAGTTAAGTGCGCGGACTCTAATCTGGGAGAACCGAGTTTGATTCCCCCACTCCTCCGCTTGCACCTGCTGGCGTAAGCCGTAGTTCTGTCAGGGCTTGAAAAAGAGCAGTTTCTGTCAAGAGCTCTCTCAGCCCTGCCTATCTCACAGGGTGTCTGTCTGTTGTGGGGAGGGGAAGGGAAAGGAGTTTGTCAGCCGCTCTGAGACTCCCTTGGGTAGTGAAGGGCGGGGGGGTATGAATCCAATCTCTTCTTCTTCCTCCTCCTCCTCCTCTTCTGCTGTTCATTCTGTGAACTTTTCGTTCCTTTCCATCCAGCTGTTTTCTGCTCTGCATGAAGGACGACAGCATCGAAGGGATCTACGACACACTGAAGCACTGCGCGCTCATCTCCAAGTCCGCCGGTGGAATCGGCGTTGCGGTGAGCGGCATCCGAGCCACCGGCAGCTACATCGCCGGGGTGAGTTCACGGCTGGGGTAGTCGGCACCGAAGCCAGTGGCGGCTTTTCAAAGGTTTCGGCTGCTGCTTCTGCCACTCGTTGTATGTGAAGCAGGCTCCGCGTCAGAAAAGAGACGGTCTTTTTGGCGAGGGTTTGGGCACCTGCCTCTGTAGGGCAGTTGTAGACGTCCTGTGCCCCAGTGGTGTCCTCCTCTCTTTCAGACGAACGGGAACTCGAATGGGCTCGTGCCGATGCTGAGGGTGTACAATAACACAGCTCGCTACGTGGACCAGGGGGGGAACAAGGTATGCCGGGGCTTCTTTCCAGACACAGTCCGCCGCCTCGGGGCAGCGAGAGCTCTTCCAGTTTTAACTCCTTGGGGCTGCCGCTCTGGTCTTTTACTTATTTATTTTATTGTTCAAGTTACACCCCGCCCACCCTGCAAAGCAGACTCAGGGCGGCTTACATTTGTTACATGCAGGGCTTTTTTTTGTAGAAAAAGCCCAGCAGGAACGCATTAGCATAATAGGCCACACCCAACAGCAGAAATTAATTTGCTCATTAGGACACACCCCTGACAGCACAGCTCATTAGCACATTAGGCCGCACCCCCATGTTACCAGAAGTGTGCTCATCCAGCCACACCCACCTTTTGCTTGTTATTCTGTTTACCTTGTTTGTGGTCAAAACCCAGGGTCTTTTTTTGTAGCAGGAACTCCTTTCCATGTTAGGCCACACACCCCTAATGTAGCCAGTCCTGATGAGTTTCTGCTGTTGGGTGTGGCCTATTCTGCTAATGAGTTCCTGCTGGGCGTGGCCAACTCGGGAGCCAGCTGGAACTCCAATCTTGTGCGTTCCTGCACCAAAATAGCCCTGATTACATGTAAATCTTGGCTTCCTTTGCTCTGCCAGAGACCGGGGGCCTTTGCCATCTACCTGGAGCCCTGGCATTTCGACATCTTTGAGTTCCTCGACCTGAAGAAAAACACCGGGAAGGAGGAGCAGCGTGCCCGGGACCTCTTCTACGCCCTCTGGATCCCGGATCTTTTCATGAACCGCGTGGAGACCAACCAGGTGGGGAGCTGAGCTTCTACCGCAGGAACGTGCCAGGAGTGGGCTTCTCTGGTGTGGAGTTTCAGGCAGGTCGATCTGCAGAAGCAGAACTGGGATTTTAATGTGTGCCATCTGTTGGTTGCCCCTGGCCCGAAAGATGCCCATGTAGAAGAGAAGAAGAAGAGATTGGATTCATAGCCCTTCCTTACCCGAAGGAGTCTCAGAGTGGCTTACAAACTCCTTTCCCTTCCCCTCCCCACAACAGACACCCCCTGTGAGGTAGGTAGGGCTGAGAGAGCTCTTTCGAGGACTGCTCCTGAGAGAACAGCTCTGAGAGAACTGGTGATGGACCCAAAGTCACACCAGCAACTGCATGTGGAGGAGTGGGGAATCAAACCTGGTTCTCCCAGATTAGAGTCTGCGCTCCGAGAAGAAGAGATTGGATTTATACCCCGCCTGTCACTACCCGAAGGAGTCTCAGAGCGGCTTACAAACTCCTTTCCCTTCCCCTCCCCACCACAGACACCCCCTGTGAGGTAGGTAGGGCTGAGAGAGCTCTTTCGAGGACTGCCCGTGAGAGGAACAGCTCTGGGAGAACTTGTGACTGGTCCAAGGTCACACCGGCAGCTGCATCTGGAGGAGAAGTAGGGAATCAAACCCGGTTCTCCCAGGTTAGAGCCCACGCTCCTAACCGCTACACCAAACTGGCCCTTTTTTGATCCTAGCCCCAGCCTACTGGAACACGCTCCCGATTGGGATCAAGGGCCCCGCGAGACCCCTGTTTCAGTTCCGCAGGGCCTGTTAAACGGAGCTGTTCCGCCAGGCCTTTGGCTGAGGCAGGGGGCCTCTACCAGCTGGCCTCCCTCCTGTGGCGACATGAGGCCATCATGGCTCGGTAGCAGCCAATTCCATTGCACTGCCCACTTTAAATACTTTAAATTTTAAACTGGTCTTATTGCATTTGTTTAGCTTGTTTTTATTTATTGTTGTGAGCTTCCCTGAGCCCATTTACCGGAAGGGCAGGATATAAATAGAAATAATAAATAAATTGAAAGGTGCAGTTTTTCTGTCAAGCTGAATCCACAAGCTGGATGCCACCGGCCAGTGTTCCCTCTAAGCTGAGTTAGTGTCAGCTATGTCAGTTTTTTAAGCCTCCGGCTCACACATTTTTGTCTTAGCTCAGGTGCACCTGTGTTTTGTCTGATGTTCTGCCTGGTTCCCATGGACTGGGCGCGCAACCGTTTCTTTAGCCCGCCAGCGGGAATGCCATTCATTGGATCTGGATCTGTTTGAACTTCCTTTATTATGCTTGACCTAACTGTGTATCCCCAGTTCTAACAAAGAACGTGTTTGAGTATGTCTTCAACGCTTTGAAATAAATTTTGCTTTTCTTGAAAACGTGGATTTATTCTCGATGCTTGGGGATCCAACACTTGTTTGCATTTATTGTTGTGAGCTTCCCTGAGCCCGTTTACGGGAAGGGCGGGATATAAATTGAAATAATAAATAAACACCAGCCCGTGTTCCCTCTAAGCTGAGTTAGTGTGAGCTCTGCTACTGGCATTAAAGTGTGGGTGAGCAGTTTGGCTACTGCATTAATTAATTTGCTCTGGAGCCCTCCTCCCTGAGCTAAGACAGAAATGTGTGAGCTGGAAGCTAAAAAACTGAGCTAGCTCACAGTAACTCAGCTTAGAGGGAACACTGGTTATGGGATAAAACTGTTTTCCACTGTTCTTTATTAATTTTATTTCTAATGGAATTATGGTCCTGTTGTTGTTGATCAGCACTTGTAGTTTATAAGAAACAAATAACAAGAAAACTTCAGTCAGTCTTGAGTCAAGCCACAGGGCTTCTGATTTTGTTATGGTGAGGAAGGGGAGATGGTTCTTTGCCAGTAAGTGAAGGATTTCTCCAGCCTTAAACATTTATGTTTAAAGAGCCCTCGGGCGCAAGTAGCATTTCACCCCTCTGAGGAAATAAAGTGGTCTGGGTGCTCTTCAGATATACATGCAGGTGTGAACTGTGACTTCAGATGCCACTGTTTTAGTAAACAAACTGGCTAGAATGGCTACACTCTAGACCTAATTCACCATTTAGACTAAATACCCCCCTGCCCCCATGCTTCACACTCATATCTCACTACTGGGGTTGCCAATTCTGGATTAGGAAACCCCCGGAGACTTGGGAGCAGTGCCTGCGGAGAGTAGAGTTTGGGGAGGGGCAGGATTGCCACAGGGTCCACCCTCAAAAGCTGCTGTTCTTCCAGGGGAACTGATCTCTGTAGTTTGAAGATGTAAGACCTGTAACTCTACTTGCCACAAATGCAGGAGGCCTCATGCTGTCCTTCCTGACCATTGTTCCGCCTCCTTATAGGAACTCTTATTGCTTTTTTTAAAATTACCAGATGTGTCATTTCTCCTACATCTGCAGTTGCTATCAATACAATTGATAGCAGTTTGGTGTAGTGGTTAAGTGCGCGGACTCCCCACTCCTCCACTTGCACCTGCTGATGTGACCTTGGGTCAGTCGCAAGCTCTGGCACAGCTGTCCTTGAAAAAGAGTTCTCTTAGCCCCACCCACCTCACAAGGTGTCTGTTGTGGGGTGGGGAAGGGAAAGGAGTTTGTGAGCCGCTCTGAGAAACCTTTGGGTAGTGAAGGGCCATGGGGTATAAATCCAATCTCTTCTTCTCTCTTCTTCGTAGGGGGTGTAGTGGTTAAAGCGTGGTCTGTTTAGTTGTTAAAGCATGGTCCGTCTTTGGAGGTGAGCCGTCTCTTGGGTCCAAGTGAAATTCCAGTCAAAGCATTCTCCAGCATGTAATAGTTATTGATTTATTTATAGTCTGCGCCTCTCTCACTGGGAATCCAGGCAGATTCCCCAGAGTAATATTAAGAATAATATTAGCCATGGTAACAGTAAGGTGACAACACAGGGATAGAATTGCTCTCTGTGTTCTGTGACTTGGTATTTCATGATATGGAAGATACGGTTGAGTGCAAAGACACCCTGTGGGGGAATTGCATCCTTCACTGGTTCTGCTCCCTGATGCAAACAGGAGAGCAGTTAGTCTTTGGGAAGTGGCATCATGTGGCTGTGACCTGTGCCACGGACGGACGGAGTCCTAAGGGGCTGCCCTTGCTCAGCTTCCATCCTTCTCTTCTAGGACTGGTCTCTGATGTGTCCCAACGAATGCCCGGGCCTAGATGAAGTCTGGGGAGAGGAGTTCGAGAAACTCTACGAGAGGTATGAGAAAATAGCCCAGGAACAGAGTTTGAGGAGCTGATTCTCTGCCACTATGTTGAATCTAAACAACCCTTGACAGACGTCCACAAAGTTAATTTTCAAAAGTGCCCTCCTTTTCACTCCCTATATTCTGAGGGGGTGATTGCAGCTTGTTAAATCGGAGCGGGTAGGGAACTTGACGGAGAATGTGAATGGCACTTGCTGTTTGTGCAGGCGTGCGGGAAGTTGGTACGGGAGGTGCTTGACCAACTGGAACTGGGCCCAAAGACAGCTCTTCAGACCAGCCAGTTTGCACTGCAAACTTAAACCAATTCTAGCTGTTGCTCCCCCCCCAAGTATCCATGAGGCATGAAGAATCTGTGACCGGATCCTCAGTTCGTGCATGACAGTGTATCTCGAGGGTTGTTCGGTCAGAGGAGCCATTGCGGCTACAGGCACCTTTGCAGTGCTGGTGATTGTGGCCTTCTCTGGCTATGGAGCAGTCCTCTCAACATGGGGCCTCTGCCTGTCCTTCCTTCAGAAGAAAACCAAAAAAGAAGGGGAACCAGCGTACATGAAATGGTACAAAGCACAAAAAACCGCTGGCTACAGATAAAAATGTATAAAAATACAGTCATATAACTATGTAAAGCCAAGGTGTTCTTGCAAGAAACAGCAGTAACACAGAGAAGTAAAGTCCCAAAAATTTCACTGTATCTCCTGTTGTATTGTAATTCCATAGTCCAACTTGACATACATTCCTCATAGAGTGGACTCATATAGTTCCTATGATGGAACCCATGATCCTTTATGACTGAATAAACTGGCTTCTGTATTTGCTTCTACTGAGATTGGGTCCCCACTGTAGCCTATTGGTTTTGAAAAAGAATTATTCGAAACGCGGCATCTTGCATACGGACCTACATGTCTCTATGGTTTATGGATTTCACGATTATATGGATTTTCCAGGAACTATATGTCCACTCTATGAACTCGGCATTAAATATTGCTTTTATGCATTTTTGTTTATTTTTAGCCAGCAGTTTTCTGTGCTTTGTACCGTGCCCTTCCTTGAGAGCAGACAGCACCAGGTGCCCTTTCTCGTGCCCCTGGTTGGCAAACGGGAACGAGAAGTCCTCCTTTCCAGAGACACAACGGCCACGTGTTCCTTGTGTGTTGCAGCTACGAGAAGCGGGGCCGCGTGCGCAAGGTGGTGAAAGCCCAGCAGCTGTGGTACGCCATCATCGAGTCCCAGACGGAGACGGGGACCCCGTACATGCTCTACAAGGACTCCTGCAACCGGAAGAGCAACCAGCAGAACCTGGGGACCATCAAATGCAGCAACCTGTGCACCGAGATCGTGGAGTACACCAGCAAGGACGAGGTAGGCACGGGCAGGTGGGGAGGGTCTGCTCCGATCCGTGATTAAATGCCGTTTCAGAGGGTGGCCACATGGGTCGGCAGTAGAAGATCTCAGTTCAAGTCCCGTAGCTCCTCAGAGATCAACAAGATTTCCAGGGAAGGAGCTTTTGAGAGTCGAAGCTTCCTTTGTGGAGATTAGTCTCTGTGGCAGAACGTGCCCGCTCTGTGACACGGTGGCCAAAAATACCAGGTGCCGTCAGGAGGCCCAGCAGTGGGGCCAGAACTCCAGAAGCCCTCCCACTGTTGACCCTCCCCCCAAGCACCGAGAAGACAGAGCATCCCTTGCCCCAGACCGAGAGCCCCTGTCTATACCTTGTGGCCACTGATGGACCTCTGCTCCGTATGCTTATCCAATCCCATCTTGAAGCCGTCCATGCTTGTAGCCGCCACCACCTCCTGTGGCAGTGGATTCTTTCTCTCTTTTTCATCTGTTGTGATTGTATTCCCCCCCCCATGCCATTTTCAGTAGGTCAGATGCTCTGTATGAACCTGCTTGCTTTTACCATTGACTTTTGTTTCCCCATCTCTGCGCTTTCCAGGTTGCGGTTTGTAACTTGGCTTCCATAGCCCTGAATATGTATGTCACCCCAGAGCACACTTACGACTTCAAGAAGCTGGCGGAAGTCACCGGGGTCATCGTTCGAAATTTGAATAAGATCATTGACATCAATTACTACCCTGTGCCGGAGGTAGGAAGAAAGGAGTCCGGGACTGGTGTGTGTGTGTGGGGGGGGGGGGTGTACAGTAATCATAAGAACACAAGAGAGAAGCCAATGTTGGATCAGGCCAGTGGCCCATCTAGTCCAACACTCCCCAAGCACCAAGAAAACAGAGCATCCCTTGCCCCAGACTGAGAGTTCCTATCTATACCTTCTGGCTAAGAGCCACAGATGGACCTCTGCTCCATAAGAACATAAGAGAAGCCCATGTTGGATCAGGCCAAGGGCCCATCCAGTCCAACACTCTGTGACACACAGTGGCCAAAAATGCCAGGTGCCCTCAGGAGGTCCAGCAGTGGGGCCAGGACACTAGGAGCCCCCCCACTGTTGCCCCCACACCCCCAAGCACCAAGAATACAGAGCATCGCCTGCCCCAGCTGTAAGAATATAAGAGAAGCCCATGTTGGATCAGGCCAAGGGCCCATCCAGTCCAACACTCTGTGACACACAGTGGCCAAAAATGCCAGGTGCCCTCAGGAGGTCCACCAGTGGGGCCAGGACACTAGAAGCCCTCCCACTGTTGACCTCCCCCCCAAGCACCAAGAAGACTGAGCATCGCCTGCCCCAGCTGTAAGAACATAAGAGAAGCCAATGCTGGATTAGGCCAATGGCCCCTCCAGTCCCACACTCTGTGTCACACAGTGGCCAGAAATACCAGGTGCCCTCAGGAGGTCCACCAGTGGGACCAGAACTTCAGAAGTCCCCAAAACGCCAAGAAAACAGAGCATCACTGCCCCAGACAGTGTTCCCCCTGTACCTCGTGGCTAAGAGCCACTGATGGACCTCTGCTCCAGATGTTTATCCAATCCTCTCTTGATGCTCTCTATGCTTGTAGCCGCTGCCACTTCTTTTGCCAGTGCATTCCACATCTTAATGACTCTTTGAGTGAAGGACTTCTTTTGATCTGTCCTAAGCCTAGTGCTCCTTCACTTAATTGAGTGCCCACGAGTCCTCGTCTTGCGAGGAAGGGAGAAAAGCCCTTCACTGGGGCTGAGGAGTTGCCGGAAGGCCGCAGGTTGCCAGCTTGGCTAAGGCAATGATATTGCTCTGGATCTCAGAGACCGTGGTGCAGGTTGCTGCTCACCTGGTTTCTCTGTGTGAAAACAAAGAGCCTTCTATTTCCAGTCCCACCAGTCAGTGACAGTTTGGGGAATATGGCTGCTGGCAGAAAGGGGGGGCTTCCCTGGTCTTGACCGGAGGAGGAGGATGAAATGCTGTTTGCTTCAAGAAAGGGGTGGAAAGGAGTGAGCAAGTGACGGGTGCCTGAGCCGAGAGTTGGGGTTTTGATTTGGAGGGGCTGGGTCAGCTGACTTTAAATGAAACTGGCCTGCATTGCAGAGCTGGGATGCAATCCCCCCCCCATCTCTAGAAATTCATTAAGAGGGTGATTGGGCTTGGGCAAATGAGATTTGTTTTAACTCTTTAGCTAGCCTCACTTAGCACCCAGAGGTCTAGGAGTCCTCCGCCGCCTTGCTTTAACGTTGTAAAATTTCTGGAAATTTTGAAGCTCGGAAAAAAACCGGAAATTTTTGGAAAAATTGAAAAAGATGCTAGATTAGCACTTCTTTTTTCTTTTCCAGATTGAAAGTCATTCTGTTGCTTTAGGAACATAAAATATGACTACGGACATTTTTACTTGGCATGGCATTATCAACACTAGCCTATTAAAAATATAGTGTATCCAAACAATTATTACAAACAGAATACCCACCGACATGCACAAACAAAACTGAAACCTTTTTCTTTTATTTTGACAGTAGCACCTCCTAGAGGAAGAAATGCATCTTGTTCTTGCATTGGAGAGTTCAGTTTGTAACCTAGGACTTGCTTGTCCTCAGTGCACAGAAATTAGATCAATCTGAAATTATTTGGAAAATATTTGAACACCTTGTCTTAAAATATTTTATTTATCATGTTAAAATAAAACATTCCATAATCAAT